CTCCTTTTAACAATATTTTCCTAAGGTATACTGAGCTTTCATCCCTCCCTACAGTGTAGAGTTGAGGGTTTCTCTAGACTTTAGATATATTATGTGCTGGTTTAAAAGTAAATCGGTGGGAGAAATGAACCTAACTCAAGAGAGATTACAAGTCAGAGTTACAATTTACTAAAAAGGTTACAATAAATACAATGATACAGAGAAAAAACTAGTTTTAATCCCCAAAGACAGATGTATAACCCTGGAACAAGAACAGAACAGTGTTTGTATTGGGGCTCACTTATCTGTCTTGCATTTTATCCCTCTCTCTCTCTCTTTGTAGTCTCCCTTTTCATTACGCTTAATATTCTTCTTATTATATTATTTTTTTCAATTACTAAACTGTTCTTATCTCAACCCACGGCTTTTACCTCTTTCCAAATCTTCTCCCCATCCCACCAGGGCCAGGAACAAGCAGCAGCATGGTATTTAGTTTCTGGCTGGGGTTAAACAATATGAATATGACAATTCATATTCAGAGAAGTAGTGCTGGCTCCATGACAACACCAGTATTTACAGTATCAGAGGAACTGATTTTGGTAATGCATCAACCTGAGAAGCCAGCTGCAGCACCACAGGAGGAGAATACACCCAGGCACACAGCCTCGTCTATCCCCGCAGCTGCAACGCTACATGTGACACAAGCCTGTACACCTTGCAGAGGTCAGGGCTTGCCACAGGTGCATTTTTGCTGTTTGTACAGTTTCAAACTAAGAAATAAGACCCCCAGATCTCACAGAGCTGCCCCAAGTCATTCAGCTCCTTGCTGTGAATGAAACCAACTCCGTTTTGGCAAACTTCTCTCTGCTCATTTCCTTCACATCCTCAGTAAATAGCTTCACATTCAAGTGTCTCCTTAGATATTTCACTGCCTAATATATTTTCTTTTCTCCCCAGGGATAAAAATTTTCAGGCTGATTCTGGGAGGATGCTGGTTACTGGCGTGCACTGATGGGTCATGACAGGAGAGAAGCTCTTCCCATCAGGGATGGATGCTGTCTGTGGCTGCATTCTCATGGAAGAAAGGCTGGCAGGGAGTGCAGCAGGAATGAGGTTTTCAGAAACAAAGCATTGCAGTCTCCCCTAATACTGAGTAGGCACTCTCTGTACTGTGAGGTTGTCTTCTTTGCTGAACTGAGAGCAACAAAGTGTTGAAACATCTTGCTGGATTGGAGCAAAAGATTTGTCTCATTTCTGCTTCCTTTTTTTTCTTTTCAGTTCATCTTGAATGCTGTGGGTGTAAAGACCTGTTGGTTAAGACTGTCATGTGCAATTTTTTAATATTGGTTTATTGTTTTTCTTTCTTTGAACAAAGATGACAGAAAACCCATGTAAAGAATGAAGTTTTCATAACGCTAAAATTGAACACTTACACTTTTGGAAGCTTGAAATACGCAGAATGCCATATTGAAATACAAGGGACAATGGCTACAAACTGAAAGAGGGTAGGTTTAGATAAGATATGATGAAGTAATTCTTCACTATGAGGGTGGTAAGACACTGGAACAAGCTGCCCAGAGAAACTGTGGATATGCCATCCCTGGAATTGTTCAAGGCCAGGTTGGGTGGGGTTTTGAGCAAGCTGATCTAGTGGAAAGCTCCCTGCCCATGGCAGGACGGCTGGAACTAGATGATCTGTAAGGTCCTTTCCAACCCAAACCACTCCATGGTTCTTTAAAATGCTGCAAGCATATCTAAAATTTACTCTTGACTCTCTACCCCATCCCTTACGACATACAGGCAAAACCTCATAGACTAAATATCACTAAAACTGTGTCCTTAGAAAACTTTGCTGTTTACATAAGCATGTTTTTAAAGACATGCTTCAGACAGTAATGAAGGCTAACAGTCTCAGAACACAGAATAATTTCATTTTAATTATACAGGGTAGTTCTTCATTACTGAGTACTCAGAGAGAAGTGCAAAAGAAATCTGATTTCATGCTGTTATAATTAAAGGGAATATAAAATTAAAAAACACCTGTGTAATCGCAAGTTTGAGTTAATAACAAGGGAAATATTTAATTTATTAAAGAATAGAAAAGACTGAAATACCAGAAATGAAACAATGGCATTCTGTAAAGAATCAATATATGAGAAGACAATATGAATAGATATCCTTAGTTTCATTTTTGTGTTTCTAATTTTCTTCTTAATCCTCCTTTTCCTTTTCCTTTTCCTTTTCCTTTTCCTTTTCCTTTTCCTT